ATGACCTCATGAAGTCCCTTCCAACCCTGATATTCTATGATTCTATGAATCCCTGGGCCTGGAATGGAACCTGACAGAGAGCCAAGCTGGTGGTTTCAGTACTTCCAAGTATTCCCATTATCAAGGTTCAGCTGCCACAAATCTTCTGCAGCCGACCTGAGGGTGTAGGATGGGGATTGTTTCATTGGCAGACACAAAGAGCTCCAGGAGTCTAACAGCTGGTGAAGCCCATTCTGACCAGGAATCCCAGCAGCGTGTCTGCTGCAGATAAGCTTGAACCAAGGTAGTGGCTCTGGGGTTACAAGCAATGTATTTTTCTGGAAACCAAAGTTACCATGTGCAGCTTGTGTAAAAATAAACAAGTTATGCGATCTGGAAGGGGCAGGGCACAGGCAAGATAACTCAGGATGTAGTGCAGCCTGCCCCCTTTCCACCCCTCCCTCTGAGCTACATCCCGGGGGACTGCAGCAGGGGTCAGGGGGACTGCATAGGGGGGCACCAAAATGTCTAGGGATGGCCCTGTTGGAGTCTGTCAGGTTTCCTTTTAAAATGCAAAATACAGGGACTGGCCAAGATTTCATTTTCTAACAAAGGAAAACTGCAGGGTTTCTTTTTTAAAATAAATGACTGTCTGTTCTTTTGAGCCATGTGAAAAACGAAAACGACGCACCGAACAAACCGGAGGAGTTCTAGCGGCGGAATTTGCAGTGCACAGTAAGTGTGGATGTTTTCTATTTGGAAAAGAGTTTCTCTCTCTTACAAAGTGTCAGATATGGGACCAGTCAGTCATTCTCCAGGCAGGGATGACAGTAAGAGGGAGAGGTACTGCTCACATATAAATCTGTCCCTAGACAGAGAATGGAGAAGATTAGCAGCAGTTAAATAACAATCTTTAGACTTTGGTGGTTACTTGGAAGGGTTGAATTTTGCTACAGTTGCTGTAGAAGGACCAATTCCGAAGTCCCTCCATAGATAAAGCAACCATAGAGTTCAGCGACTATAATCCTGAAATACACATGCAGCCTGGGTTAAGGGGCTGCATACAGAGATGGTCCACTGTGGTGGTGGGGGGAGGGGAGGGGGGAATTCTCCCCTAAGTCTGCTGTGGGCCAGAGAAGCTGTGTTGCAAGTGTTTCTATGGATAAGCCGCTTTGGCTGGTGGATCTGCACAACTGTGGATCCCAGGAATATCCCCCCGCCCCAACACACACACACAAATGTAGCTCAAACCCATCACGTCTGTCCACCTGTTCCTACTTCTCCTTAGAGGAGGGCCCAGAAGTTAGCACTCTTAGGACTGTAGGATCCAGCCCTCACATGCAAGTCTTTTGGTGCAGATGCTTTGGCCTAATTCTCATTTAGGGTACGTCTATACTTACCTCCGGGTCCGGCGGTAAGCAATCGATCTTCTGGGATCGATTTATCGCGTCTTGTCTAGACGCGATAAATCGATCCCGGAAGTGCTTGCCGTCAACGCTGGTACTCCTACTCTGCGAGAGGAGTACGCGGAGTCGACGGGGGAGCCTGCCTGCCACGTGTGGACCCGCGGTAAGTTCGAACTAAGATACTTCGACTTCAGCTACGTTATTCACGTAGCTGAAGTTGCGTATCTTAGTTCGAAGTGGGGGGTTAGTGTGGACCAGCCCTTACACTAGTGGCCCTTTACCCCAAGGTGGCAATTAAATCAACACCGACTTTACAGCCCCTTTATGCTACCTGAGTGGTATAAAGAAGCCTTTAGTGTAAATGAAAATCCTCCTCTCACTTACCCTGGTGTAACTTCACCGACTTCGGTGCTCTTGTTCCTATATGCACACTTGCATCAATATAAGCAAGAGGAGAATTAGCCCTGGAGACGGGAGGAGGATTAGTCCTGTTCAGCATGAAGCTCACAGCAGAGATGTTAAAGCCATGAGAGAAAATACTTAGCAACATGTGACATACTTACTGCATGTTATCTGTTCTGTTCCCCCTCATCGCACTGCTGGACTTTGCCTTCCTTTCAACAATGCCATCCAATTGTTCTCTTTTCTAATATTATACAGGCGGAGGTTTATCCAGTCACTACAACTTCTCAGGTAAAGAGCAAAATAAGACACCAAAAATGCCCAGCCCAGAAAGCAACCGTCCATATCGATCCTGTATGCTTTTTTAAAAACTTGTAAATCTACTCAGAGCAAACAGAGTTCCTACAGAAGAAAAAGAGTTTTCAACATCAATTTTTATTTTGCAACATTTATGTGGTTTGTTTCCTTTTTTGGAACTTGAGGTACCTTGGACAGTGAAACTAGACCTGTCAGTTGCCCTTTCTGTCTAGTGTCAGTTTCATTCTTCTTTTCATGCACTAGCCCAGTGGTCTCCAAACTTTTTTGATCGCGCACCCCTATCAGTAACAAATTTTTGAGCACACACCCCCTGCCGTGCCGCAGGGCCAGCTCTACCATTTTTGCTACCCCAAGCAAAAAAAAAGACGCCCGAACTGCGGCGCTCCTCCTGCTGCGCACCCCGATGGATCCTCTTGCGCATCCCCTGGGGTGCGCACACCCCACTTTGGAGACCACTGCACTAGCCCTATGCTGCTGCGTTTGGGGATTTCCATCACTACAGAAGAACGTTCAGATGCAGAAACAAACCCACGTTTCCACTAACTTACAAAAAATGCCACGAAAACATTTCTGTTCCTGGTTGGATTTGTAACACACATTTCAAAATCTAAATATTAAGCCTAACACACAGACTGCGTCACTTTAGGGAGCTCAGATGCCAAGGTGATGGGCACAGGATAAGAACCTAAACAGAATTTAATGTAAGACATCTGAAGGTTTCAGCTGAGAACTTACCTTACTCTTTGTGATTTCCTTGCAGCTATTCTCAGTCATCTAATCTTCATGCTTGGAATCTCTGCTGTTTTACTGTGAGACACAGCCCAGCTGCAGTTCTTAACCTATTCCTCCTCCCCCCAGCCCAAACACACTTTGTAACTGTACTTTACTACTTAAAACAATGTTTATTTTACTCATGGGGGGGCAGGGAAACTGTATTGTTTTACAGGAAAAATAAATAAAACATGGCTTGATTTTTTGTTTCTATAATAATGGGAAATAATGACGCTGATCTTTCTTTCCCCAGTCTCTGCAGTTATGTTAGAAAAGTGAACAGCAAGGGCTTACACATGCTGTTCACATCTCCCCTTTGAACTGGTGTGGTGTGAAACGGTGCTTGTTTCTATTATGCAAGAAACACAGGGGCATGGCTAACTCAGCACTTCCCAAAGCGGAGCCCCCTTCAGAAACAAACGCACAAACAAAAAGCCCGCCAGTTGTAGCCCCCTTCCACTGGGTTTTGTTAAAGATTTCCCCAGCTCAGTTTAGGACTCCATCCTGCAAGGGGCTGAGCACTCAGCCATGATCCAGTGGAGCACATGAGCTGTCCCACTGAAGTCAATAGGATTATTCATGGGCATTATAGGGGGGAGGAATAGCTCAGTGGTTTGAACATTGGCCTGCTAAACCCAGGGTTGTGAGTTCAATCCTTGAAGGGGCCACTTAGGGATCTGGGACAAAATCAGTACTTGGTCCTGCTAGTGAAGGCAGGGGGCTGGACTCAATGACCTTTCAAGGTCCCTTCCAGTTCTAGGAGATAGGTATATCTCCATATATTATTATCAGGATCAGGCCCAAATGCTCAGCACCATACAAAACTGAGCCCTCGCACATCTCCTGCACCTCCCCTCCTCTACCTTTGTGTCCACCAGGGGTCCGAGCACCACACAATGGGAAATGTTGCATTCACTTGCACCTAGAACCATGTTAGCCGTGAAAACTGACTCTGTGGAGAAGCAGAACAACATAATCTAGCATGGCTCCATATGTACAGACACCACTGTTGTCGGCAAGGGTCACGTGCATGATCAGCAGCACAAGAGGCACAAATCCTCACCCCTTGAACGAGAGAAGTATTTAAAGTGCAAGCTCCTTGGGGCGGGGACTCTCTCTCACTATGGATAGCCAATCAGAAGGTGTGATGGCAGCACATGTAGGCATACCCAAGTTCGACGTGCTCAAGCTAGTTCACTAAAAATAGCAGTGGAGTGGCAGCATGGGGCTAGCCACTCCTACATATGGAGGGTTCCAGGCAGACTTCTAACTGGGGGGGGCTATCTGCTACATTGCTTTTGTTGAGCGAGCTAGCGCAAGCAAATCTACCTCCGGTTTGTTCTACGGCTGCCACAAAAGCGCCTCCTGACTGCAGTGTTCAAACAGCACCTCGTACAATGGGGCCCTGATCTGCGTTGGGGCCCCAAGATACTATCACAATACAAATTATAATAGTAGCAACAATTCTTAGCTGTCAGTTGGTGGCAGGTATTTATCACCTCTGGGACCTCCCACTAGAGGGAGACATGACCATTTCCCGGGAGTGAGATGTGTTGGGCTGTAGAATAGTGTCTGATGGGAAGTGATGGAAGGTCTATTGGTTGACACATTTGAAACCAGATTGAACAAAACACTTGAAAATGTCCAGAAAGGAACATTCTTCCAGTGGGCCAGGAGATGGATGGATAGGTCTTTCCACCAAACTTTTATGTATCTATGATAAAAGAGACTAAAATGAATACAGTAGGTACAATCAGTGTTTATTTGCCCCCATTCATCCCAGTGCCAGCAGTACACATATCTATACATACAGTACCAAAAATACATAACTAAAACAAGAACATAAATACCAGAGTGGATCAGCCCTGAGATCCACCTAGTCCAGTATCCTCTCTCCAGCAGTGGCTAGCACCAGATGCTTCACACAAAAGTGCAAAAAGCCCTGTGGTAGAGAGATGGGGTAATCTGCCTCACATGCCAGTTTTACCCTAATCCCTAATCAAGTTTGGTTTAAAGCCTGAGGCATCAGGTTCTATCTCCTTTCCAATGCACTTTGTTTGCATTCACTATCCTAATTCTGTCTGTTCTTTGTTAGCTATGTAACAATGCTGTCCCTCTTTGAACCCTGCTAAATTCCTGTAAGAGCTGCATCCTTTTCAAGCTACCATTTTAATATGCTTGCCTTTTCTCCGATTCATTTACTGGGATCATTGCTACTGATGCTATAATATCCTGTTATGGTTCCTCCATTCCTCCTTCCCACTCCCTCCCAGCTGCACCTGTTTGATACACCTTATATGACTCTAGGCTCTTTGGGGAGGGATAGCTCAGTTGTTTGAGCATTGGCCTACTAAACCCAGGGTTGTGAGTTCAATCCTTGAAGGGGCCACTTAGGGATCTGGGGCAAAATCAGTACTTGGTCCTGCTAGTGAAGGCAGGGGGCTGGACTCGATGACCTTTCAGGGTCCCTTCCAGTTCTATGAGTTCCAGTTCTATACATCTCCATTAAAAAAAAAAAAAAAAAACTTTGTAATCATACACAGCACTACCACAATGAGGCCCATGCCCTGGTTGAGGCTTCTAGGTGCTACCAGAATTATATAATTAATAATAATTAAGAATTCATTTGACATTGCACATATAGTACTTAACCACTGTAAAAAAGCTAACATACAATTTCAGTGTTAACCTATTACATGAACTATGGCAGCACATGAAAGTCAACACCGCTAACGCTAATGCGGTGGGGAAGCCCTGAAGTAATTCTAATAAAATATGTTTCAAACTTATTGTCCTCCTTATTCCTTGCTAGAGTATTCAGAGATGATACTGTATGTCCACTATTCTCAAATTCTGCACAGGTTCTCTCTCACTCTGGGCACCATTTGCCTAAATAGGTGTAAGGCATCTAATATAGGTAGTTTAATTTATAAATAGCTTAAAGCAAGGATTCCTATTAGCTGAAATAAGTGACAAACAGAATCCACCATGATGACCTCTGACATAATAGTATCAGATCAGACTGTATTTACCCTTTTGAGCCTATAGTGCACACTCTCCAGACAAATTGTTCTAGCTAGGTTGGGTTTACATTAGGTGGATGGATTTCCTCACTTAGGCCTGTTCATATCATTAAAACTGCCCATGGGAAGACATTTCAATGAGATGTTCCTGCTTTGAGATATTTCCTAGGCCACAGCAGATCCTGTTGAATGTTTTAGAGATTCACAGAGCATCTTGACTCAAAAAAAAGTTTCACATGGCTTTTTTCCTTCTTTATTTGCTCACCTTCCCTAACACTAGGTTTCAGCAACTCCCCCTCAGCAATTCCGGCCTAAAGCTTTCCGCCTGTCCATGCCAGAAGGGATTAATGTGCTCATGTCACGAAATGTGAAGGTTAGACAGTATTGGCTCTGGGTCTACCCTGCACCTTCACCAAAGGGAGGTTCTTTGGTCTATGTTGGTTATCTATCCCTGTATCAGAGGTCTGGTATCACAACTCTTGTGTAGGATGTCTGAACTGAGCTCCCTTGATAGGTTCATTAATGCTGCTACTGACTATACAGCAGCTATTATTTTGTACCAAGGTGAGTCTCACACCCATGTGTTCCCAGGAGCTGAGTGCGTCACAGAATTCCCACAGTCCCTGCCAGTTGTGGAACCAAGCGTCTAAGTGCCATTCCGCCCAGCTGATATTACACCGCTCCCGATTTAGCCCACGCAACCAGCTGCATGTCGTCATAACACAAGCTACGAAGTTTGGATCCTGATCCCAGTTTGGATCTGTCGTTCCCCAAAATTCAGAAGTGATTTGGCATACAGATCCTTAGGAGGTTTCAGCCAAGGCAGTTCCTATCCCAAAGGGGGCAACTCAACCAGTCTGGAACAGTATGTAGAGGCTGCAACGGCAACCCAGCTGCTATTCCCAGGGAATCAAGGAGTGTTCTGACCTACAAGGGAAAGACCTGTAACATTATTTAATGGGGCCTGTAATGCAGAGAAGTGAAAGTGCACGTAACTTTCATTTTGCTCATCTCCCTACTGCACATGGTTGTTAATTTCCCCATTTAATTGGTGTTTACGTTACTAGTATCTGAGGGTTCATTCTGGAATGTGACTGGTGGTGAGAGATTGTAGCCCATGTTGTTCACAACAATCTATTTCGCTTTTACGAGAGATCACCTTCCAAGACGAGAGAAGACTGGGGTCTGCTGTGGTGGGTGGGGCAGGAAGACTTTTGTCTTGAGCTCTAGTTCTGAAGGTCTCTGCCTTCAGCAGTGCAATGTCTGAACTACGATATTAGTCTTCCATTCATTCCATGTTCCAGTCAAATGGCCTCCGTTTATATTGTGTTCAGTATCCCCAGCAACGAGTTCCTCCTACTGCAACGAGAAGATGATGGTCATCCAAAGTGTCAAGAACCACGGGGAGAAGTAGCACAATACGATTCAATTTTCAGTGCAGAGGAGATGAGGACTTCTTTTATATGGGTGACTAACTTATATCAGGCCTGATCCAGCATGGAACCCTGCTGCTGACTCAGTTTCCCCTTCTTGGGTTTCTCAAAAACTGCATCCAGTGAGGCTAATAATACCCCTTCTTGGGGTCTGGGTTTATTAAGACATCACCACAATTATAAAAAAGCAACATGTATAATAGCAGCAAAATCAAGTCTTTCTCCTGTCTCCCCGCTCCAGTTTCTTAAGCCCCTCGCTGGGCTTCTTTCCAAAAACCCAGCTCCCCTTGCCTAGTGTTTCCTCAAGCCTCTTCCTTTGACAGCTGTTACATCTCTCGAGGTTTCTGCTCCTGCCGTTAACTGCAGGTTGTTCCAGCCAGGCCTTTTCCTCTCGCTGATGAGGGAAGCCCTTTTCCTTGGTCTCTCTCCCCAGATCTCTGCAGGCCTCTCTCCCTAGATCCCCTTATATCAGAGGTTCGGACCTCAGCTCTCTCTCTCTCTCTCAGCTCTCCGCATCCCTTTGAGCAGGGCACCTCTGCTAGGTCCCCTCTGGGTTTGTCTGGAGAGCCTTCTCCCAGGTCTGTCCTAGCTCCTGATCTCCCTTTCTCTGAGGGAAAAGGCTCTCTCTTATAGGAAGCCCTGCCAATGGGTTACCATCACATGATGCCTGGTCACCTGACCCAACCATTGGCTGAAGTCCAAACTCATCACCAGGGTCCTGATGACAAGGCACAGGTGGGGCTGA